ACACACACACACACACACACATAAACTCACACACTTGGTGACGCTCACTGTCTCTCCCTCCTTACTTTGCTCTCTTCCACCACTTTCCCTCCTCTCCAGCTCACACAAAACTCCAGCCCACTTCCCACTTAGAGTAATTGATCGATGGAGTAGCTGGGGGAGACTTTGAGTCGATAGAGGAGCAGGTTGTCAGGCACACAGTTGCAATAAAAAAGAAAATCGCCCGAGGTGCCTGAAACAGAGGCAGAGGAACGGAGACGGGCACCGGCGAGGAGGAAGAGGAGGAGGAGGGCAGACTGCTTCAGCTTGGCCGAGTCGCGATGGAGACGCGCGGCATGAGTGATTAGGAGCAGCCGCTTGTGGAAAGCGCTGGTTTGGTCAAGGTGGAATACAAAGTGAGGATCATCCAGAAGTGACCGGAGCCGCCTTCAGTCCGAATCTTTACGCGGATCCTCTCAGAATCATGAACGTGCCGCCTCCAGACCGCAGGAAAAACATGCGAGAACTGGCTTTGGAGATTGGCATCCGAGTTCTGCTCTTCGGAGTTTTTGTGTGAGTTTTTTTTTTTATATTTCTGTTCTCTTAGAAATGTGGTGAGGCTTCGTCTGCAATGATGTCGACAGTGTGCTCAGTTTCCTGGCTGAGGTGTTCCATGTGCTCAGTGGTGTGTTCAGGTTGTTAGCCGCGGTGTGGTGCTGGACGAACAGGTCTCTGCTGAGCCGCAGTTCAGCACCATGGACAGATCTCCATTAAAGCCCTATAGGACAGCAGACATGCTGCGTTAACAGGTTGTAAAAAAACAAGTTGAATATCCGGAAGCGTTTTACTTCATGTGATAAATCATCATGTGTCACTATTATAGATAAGCTCATAATTTTATTTCTCATTAGAGATTATTAAATTGTTGGGTAGAGAGGTCGATTCCACAAGAAATTGTGCTAGAGGGGAAGGGCTCGTTAGGTGATGTTTATATAGAGTACTTGTACATGTACATGACAGTGAGAAGGTTGTTCCACGTGTGCAGCCTTTAAAACTAACATATTATTAACGAGTAATTGTTTCTCTAGCCTGGAGGCATATTAAACCTTGTTTGCACCATGATTGTGTTTTTTATTCATTTGCTGCTTAATGTGATTTGAAGAAAAAAATCCTGCTAGCTGAAAGGACTCACCTTGCTATGGCTTACACTCCATCTCTGAAAGAAAGAAAAACAGAATTCAGCCCATATGATATGGATTGCTTAGAAAAACTCCCTGCATATATATGCACATTAATATTGATATCTGGTGTATGTCTGCTATAAGGGATACAAATGATGATGCTGTACACTTACAGTGTCTGACATGGGCAAACTCAACTGGAGGGATCTGACCAAAGAAGCAATTGAGGCATCTTGTTTTGTGTGTGTGTGTTTGAGCGTCTGAAATATTTATATTTTTTGTTGATTTGTCAGGGCTGGAGGCCACACAAAATAAAATTTAAAAAAAACAATTTCACAAAATATCATATCATCAACTAACTTCTGTATTCTGCTACAGAAGCACCAGCCACAAAGTCCTTGATCACTGTAATGAATTGAGTTTTACTACGCATATTTCCTCTTCTGTAGTCTGCACAGAAAACTAAGGCTAATAAACTGTGTTTGTTATGGAGCCCTGTCCGTAAACTCGATCTGCTTTACTTCTCCTATGTGACCATGTACAAACACTAATTGCAACAGTCTGCATGTTTAAACATGCGCACACATGTCATCTTGATACCAGAGTCTGGACATTTTTACATGGGCACTGGATAGAGATAAATATTGTTGTAACAAGGAACCACACAGGCCTTATTCCATTATTTCATTCCATTAGTCCAACCATGCATCATTTCACTCTGAAATCTTTTACTGTTTACAGCAAAGGTTTCAATCATGTATCTTGACAGAGGGATCTTTTGGTGTCACACATTTTTGGGGGCTGGCAGTAATTGTTGTGTAGAGCCCAGCAGATCAGAGAGTCGCCGTCTGGCCCCGAAGGGCAGCAGTTTTCTGTTCTTGTCTCACCTTCAAGCCTGAGGTGAGGCAGGATAATTGGGGTCAACTAGAATCTGTAGTTTTCCTCACTGGAGGTATAAAAGACATTTTTATTAAGCTGTCACTTTTTTTATGGAGCTGTAGTCCAGTGTAGTTTCATTTTAGGGCAAGAAATGGGTTTATCTGCGTATCCGAACCACTACATTGCAGGTATTTTTTGATTTGATATTTTCCCTTCTGTTTAAAAAAAAATCCCTGTCCACACTACCGTCGTTTTACAAATACTGCAAAACACACAAATATCACTGCAAGGGACAAATGCTCAAAAATGCGTAACAATCAGCCAAATGTCAGACAAAAACATTGTTAGCATGCTCAGTGAGCTTATTCTCCTGCCAATCGGCATATCGCATATGTTTTCAGTGCTGGTCATGTGCTGTGACATCATTTTTTCCCAAAGGCTCTGTTTTACATGAACACAGGCAAACAGAAAGTGTAGCAACAATTTTTGTAACAGGTTTTGAAAATCTGAGTTTTGGTGACTTAAAACATTGTTTGCATGTGGACGGGGAAAACGTTTGTCTCACAAAATATCAGTTTAGACAGGGTATAAGAGTACATGCAAAGTTGGACAATTTTTGAGTCTGTGATCCTGATTGAATAATGCAGATTGTAAATTTAATACACACAACTCATTCTCTGTAGACTCAACCACACAAAATGAGAGCCATGAATTCTCAGCTGTATTCACATTTCAAGTTTTGCCAAAGATAAACTGCCTTTGAGGGAATATTGCATTCCATTTGTCTTTGCTTGCCAAGCTGCCCTGTCTGTCCCATGCCTCAGGAAGTGCACTGACCTTAGCAACAGGCCAAATATAAGATGTTCAGTTAAACTCTGAGTTATCAAATTGCTAAGGCCATTCTGTCATTATAGCTTGAAGTCACCCCAAGAGCCTCACATCACTCAAAAGTAACACAAAAAATGTAATCTAAATGTAAATGGATCTTTGACATTTAAGTGGAAAAAACAGAAGCAGACAACTAAATCAGAAATAGATAAGGTTTTTTTTCTGCACTCAGCTACTTAACATAGAAAGAAAGGATAATGGGATTAATGCTATTTCACTTTCCCTTGTAATCCAGAGCACAACAAGCAGGAGCTTAAACAAATACCAAGAAGTAATTTCTTCCTTGAATGGTTGTGTTGCAGAGATCATGTCCTCAATCAATCAACAAGCTCAGTGTTCAAGTTTCTGTGTGTTTTGTTCCCAAGTTCATCATTGGACTTTTGAATTGGCAGATTAATTCCAGTAAATATCAGATTATTATGTTTTAGTGTAGAAGCGGAGACAAAGCCAGAAGTAGAAAGCAACAAATCATGACAATGGAAGGTAAACTGAAGGACATGCAGTTAGAGAGCTCTAGATTAATTTGAGATTCCACAGATTAAGACCTGTGGCCGAACAAATAGATAGACACCAAAACCCCTCTGTGAACTCCTATCAGTGCAATCTAAAAGCTTTTTGATGGAGTGATCGGCTGGAGAGGAGGGCTGCTGTTTTATGGGCGGAGGTACACAACAAAACAGAACAGATTTGTTTGTGCTAAGAGTTAGAGTCTGGGCCTGCAGCACAATAGACACTTTTATTGCAGAGAATCAGTCGTGATATTTATCTTAATTTCAGCAGTGCAATGCTGTTTACACTGCTGTTGGCATTGTTTTTATCATTGCTATTTTTTATATTTGCTTGTGTCTATATTGCTTGTATACTTATTTATCACTCGTAACTTACTTACTATCCCTGTTGCTGATATAACAGTGAAAAAGGGGAAAGTGCTGAAGTAGATGCATGTAGTCTGGCAGAATATCCAGTGTGTGATGGGTTAAATACTCTGGGACACTGACAATGTGTTCGGGATAATGTTTGATAATAGTGTTGGGCTCACTTGTTTATTTGCAGCCCTGGGACATGGTCCAGAGCCTCGGCATGTCTCAGAAATCCTTGTGAGATGTTGGGAAGAAGTAGAGGCCTTAGCCTGTCTGAGAGTAAGCGGATTGTGGAGCTTGCACATTAGGGATGGGGGGGATGGGGGCTCTTGTGCTCTGGATTTGTGGAGAAAATCTCTTTTTAGAGAGCTGGTTACAGAGTCATTGGGACACATTGTGTCTGTGGATGATGTGAAGAAAAATGTAATTGGAAAATGTTGGTAAACAACAAAATATAAAAATATTTTTGTTATAGTTATTGGATTCATGATGAAATCAAATGTAGCTAACATATATTTGTAATTCTTGAAATCTGAGCTGTCCATGATTCCACCAAGTCCACTTTGATACTGTAAAATAAAACGTCTTCCTCCTACCTCCTGAGAAATAACACAGGAAAGCAACAAGTATAACTAGTGTCACCAAACACAGTTATATTATTCTAATAAAGAAGTCCGCTAGAAATGATCACAATGTAAATTCATTCTGCACCGTTATCTGCACAATAGTCCTCGGTGGAGATGGTTGCTAAGGAGTTTGAGGAGCACAGCCTTTTGCCTGCAGTTCTTCATCTACTGTAACAGCTCACTGTGACTGCTCCTGCCTGCTCCATTAGCTCATCCATTGCAAACTAACAAGGCCGTTGTTGAAAAGCAGCTATTAACTGTGTAAGGTCAATGTGCATTCAGCTGACCAGTGGTGTTTATCATTCAGTCACATATATTCACATTTATAGGGCGTCTGGTGTGTTTCAGCCAGAAATGATACACTAGTTTAAAGAAATGCCAAAAATTACAATGTTGTTGTAGATGCATTTTTTGTTTATAACTGATCGTGGTTAACACTAACAATGGTGACAGGATGTCCCTTTTGCATGAGCAGTAACTTAATCCAGCCCTGGTGTCATGTTAAGAGAGTGAGCCGTTTACAGTGAGGCTCATATCACATAAATAAATACAAGTCAGCCATGTCCAATGAAAACAACTCTGTAGAGAAAGCTTGATTATGCTGTACATTGGATCTGACTATTGCAGATATGAAGTGATCAAAAAGGGGGTTTGACTTCATTTTAAGGATTAGAACTTTACAGGAACATTGGTAGGGGTATTCTGTGTGTGTATGTATGTGTATTCACTCTTTTTTAGTTTTCTAAGAGAATCTCTGTTTTAAATTTGGAGTCTCGTCTCGTCATTTTGAAAGAAGCTGGATTACGCTACGATTTACATGTTATCCTAAACTCCATCCATAAAAAGGTCCCACCTAAATGCTGCTGATCAAGGTCCAACATGTACACCAGTGTTGCTCCTTGTCTGTTTCTTTATACACACAGTGTTGCTGCCTTTGTCTTCTCTTGTGCTCATGACTCATTTGCCCTCTGTTTACTTTTCTTTAATTGTGTATTCTCTGTCTTCATTTCCTAATTCTACCATCAGCAGCCTCTGAAGCACATAATCACAGGTCACCCTATCTGCAACCCTCATTATGTTAGAGATGGAGAGAAAAAATAACTTTGTGGGCCTCACAATTGATTGTGGCTGGAGGGACA